CATTTGCTGTATTACACAGGTAGAACTCAGGAAGCTAAAATAATTTATGAAGCAAGCTTTCAGGCAACAGAGTTCAGTGGAAATAAGAGTAATTTAAAATATATTTTCCTCTATGCAGATAAAGTATGATAACGTAAAAATGTAATTTTAGAAATAAACAGCAGCAATCATTTAACAAAGGGTTTGGAATGAATGTGACTAATTTATCAAAGTTCTCTCCAAAAATATCAATAGTATTGTTTATTACAATCTTGCCTAAGGACCAACTATAAATGGGGTTCCATTGGGGTAGGCCTTATACAAACACAAAGTAGTAGGCAGTCTCTGCCCTGAAAAGCTTACAATTTAAAAATCAACAAGACAGACACACAGTGTGCCTACAATGCAATCAATGAGTGTGATTGCTGAATGTGTAGACATACGTGAGCCAGCTTTAATGTAGCTAGCTCATGTACCAACAGAAGTGGAGCTGAGGCAGTACAGCTTCACTATGGGCTGTACAACTGGGTAATAACTGGGGTAGCTAGGTCGTGCTGACGGCTATGCTGTCACAACTTCACAGCTACCAGTACAGAATTTAGACAGAATAAGGCAGCTTGGGTATGTCAACAAATGCTATAACTACACACGCAACTGCAGTGTAGACGTACCAATAGTATGGGATAAAAAGGAATAATTCAAGCAGAATGAGTTTAATTAGGAGGAAACAAGGTAGTAGAAATAAAAGTGAAGGGAGAGGGGACACTGAAGGGAAGAGATTGGGAGGGACGTACAGTCATTAGATGTTTTGCCCATAGGAATGTTGGTTTACAACTATCTTCTTGAAGAAAGTGCTCAATAAGAAGTTATACCAAATTTATTTCTAAGTAAGTGACCATTAATGATTCAGTCAGTAAAATAACACCTTTGTTTAACCAGGAGTGTCACTGTAACAGCCAGTTGTAATTTACAGTGATAACTCAGGTCCCAATCCTGAAAACACTTACTGCAGCAAACCCATTGACTTCAATCTGACTACTCACAGGAGTAAAATTATATCTGTGCTTAGGTGTTTGCAGGAGAAGACCCACAAGCAATTCCTTGCTTCACCACAGATTTTCTGTGTGACGTTGCACAAGTCACTTGGGCCAGGTTGACGCTAGAAAAGTGCAGACAATGAAGGGCCTATCTTATGAAAAGAGGTTAAAATAGCTTGGCTTGTTTAGCCTAGCAAAGCGAAGGGTAAGGTTGGGGGGAAGCAGGAGAGGGAAAGATTTCATTGCTCTCTATAAACCCATCAGGGGAGGGAGAAGAGCTCTCTCAGCTAAAAGACAGTGTTGGTAAAAGAACAAATGGGTATAAAATGGCCATGAATAAATGTAGGATGTAAATTAGAAGCAGCTTCCTAACCATCAGAGGGGTGAGGTTCTGGCACAGTTTTCCAACAGGCATTGTAGGAGCAAACAACCTAACTAGTTTTAAGAAAGAGCTTGATAAATTTATGAATGAGTTTATATGACAGTTTTGCCTGCAATAGCGAGGGTATGGACTCAATGACCCAGGATTTCCCTTCCAGTCCTAAGTTCCTGTTCCCCTGCATAGCTATGCCAGCAAGCCTTCCTAATGTAGATACAGCTTATACAAGCAAAGGAGGGCTTTTGCCAGTATAGTTTATACTTGTTCAGCAAGAAAAATAATCTATACCTTCAAAAGCAGCTTTTGCTGGTACAAGCTGTGTGTGTCTACACTAAGGCTTTTGTTAGTATAGAAGTGTGACAAAAAAATCCAACATTACTATACCAACAGCAGTTTCTAGTGCAAACCTGGACTTAAGTCTCTCTGGACCTCAATTCCCCATCTGTAAAATGGGGACAGACATACTTCCCTACCTTTCAGAAGCCTTGTGAGGAAAAAATATGTTAACGATGGTGGCATGCGCAGAAATGATGCTTACAGAGACCATATGAAGTATCTAGATAGATGCATATGGGCAGATCTTTGAATCCATATGGATCCCCACTGGCTTCAATTGAATGCTGCATGGGCTTTACTGCAGGATTGGACCCCTAAAACCTTCTCAGTAGTCAATTACCATTTAAAATGAAGAGAATAATCTTTTTCTGTACATAAAATTCAACTCTGAATAACAATTGTTATGTGTGATTTAAATATTAAGCACTGTGCAAAAAATGCCTGGAAACCAGGAATTTCACAACACGGTTCAGTCTGAGCCTAGCAAAACTTTGGTCTCTTCTATATTTAATGTTTGCATACAGTAGGGAGAACCACAGTTATCTCCATTCACTTACAAATTAATTGAAAGAGAGGTTGAAAACTGTAGAGCAGTGAAATAATGATAAGCATATTCCTAAGCTTTACAGATATTTAACATTAATAGAATACTGTTCTTCAGTGCAAGGTAATAGGGCAGTAGGAAGTAATAGGGTTTGATATATAACAAACTGCTTTGATATTTAAAAAAGATCTCTAGCTTCAACAACAAAAGGCCATTTTGGTAATTCAACTGTGTGTGAATTTAAAATAAAGCCATAGTGAGTGGTTAGATCCAACCATCTTTGATGTTGGCTAAGAGCACTGTCTTCTAAAAGAAAGCAAATACAATATTTTATTGAAATTAAACAGCCCTGTGAATGCTTGAGATTGATCATACAATAGCAACAAATGCCTGCACTAGCTGACTTGCTGTAAACTTTAATCATTCTGTACACATAATAGGAACCACTGACAGCAATAACCCAGTCATTCTGTCTCAAACTATTATAACAGCTGCATTCAATTTATTCAGAATATTGAAAGCCTCCTCAAAACCAGCTGAAATGTAATACTTTGTTCAATATCACAGGGAAAAAAGTGTCAGAATGCATATACATAAATCCAATCCTCCAAATATATGCTTAAATTTACTCATGTGAGTAGCCCCACTGAAGTCAATAGGATTACAGACATACTTAAAGTTAAACATAGGTAAATATTTTCAGGATAAGGTCCTTAGACATAAATTAACACACAAACCTGTAACATGGGACTTTTCAATATCAAAATGTGCTTTTTCATCCAATAAATTGCTTTTTTGATATATTTGTAAATCATATTGATTAGTCTGAAACAAATGTGATTTATAATTTTTATCTTGGTTATGTTTTGAAAAATGCAAAATGCAAAAATTGAGATGTGTCAGTCTTGAGAGCAGTAAAAAAAAATGCAACCTCACAAAGAATCTTTATGTGTTTGCAAAATTTCAGGTGTTTTGCAGGCAATACAAAATCGTGATCAACTGGACTCAGCTACACACTGATGAGGTTAAGTGCACTATTTTCAGCATTTATAGTCTGTTCTTTGCTCTTCTCTCCTCCTCCCACCATTTCAAACTCTGCAGCACCAGAAGTAACCATCTGGGGTCACAGGTTAGTGATCAGAGATTTCATGAGGGAGTGTTCACACGACCAATCTTTTCTAATGTATTGGTACCATCATCCAAGAGCATCAGTGAGAAATAGCAGCCTGTTTATGAAAACTTAAGGTTCTCTGATGCCGAAAGATGATTTCTGCTAACAGACTTGGTTGGCCAAGCCTTTATATATTGAAACTGCTTGCTATGCTGTCATTACAAGCATGGTACTGAGAGACACATAATGTTCCAAATAGCCCCATTTATTAACAAACACAGTGCAAAGGCTTTTAGCGGCATGACTTCGAAAAGGCTGTATGAAATGCTGCTCTAACATTTGTAAGGCTAGTAAATAATCTTTCTCGCCTTCTACATCAAACCAAAGTGCTCACACATTTGCCAAGGGGGCGAACAGACAGGGATATGGGGAGCACTAGGCAAAACAGAGGTGTTGAATTCTCACAGTATTAAAGACCCTAGTCTTCCCCACGGATCTAGGGATCGCCCTTTCTGCTTTCTATCTAGAGAGCAGGAAAAGAACCTAAACGGTTTCCCGCACCCCAGTACCGGATGTTTAAGCTTATTACACTCCTTTCAGTCCCACTTCTAGCGCTTGGCAGCTAAAGTGACTGACATGGAAAGAATTACACCGTTTCCCAGCGTATCTTGAGCGTACAGCACCATCTCTGGTAGTATCAGCCTGCTCCTCTCTGGAGTGCCATAATTATCCAATGACCTAATAGCTGACAGCCTCCACTTAGAGTCACTAATTGATGTAAACATGACACATCTGTAGAGACTGATCACTTCGTGTATTTATTTCACTTCATGCAACTTGGGGAAGCAAGAGCACAAAGTCCTGCACGACTCTCCGGGAGGAAAGGGGGGAAGACTATGGAAATGACACCAAAACCGCCTCGAATGATACAGGAGCTCAATGATCCAAGTCTGGAGCCCTGACTTGCATTCTGAATTCTCCAGCACCCCCCTGAAGCAGACACAGCACCGCAGCCAAGACACCCTGGAAGCCCATTTCAAATCTGGACTCCTTAAAAAAATATATATTAACAACCTCCCAAAGCCCCTGTAGCTGTAGCCTCCCCCCAGCTAACAGGCTTCTGGTCCCTCTCACTGCTCTGTTCACAGGCTTGGAAAGGTCACTCGAATATTTAGTTTCGTCTGCTAATGATGCGTCCAAGGAGGTTCCCCCCTACCCCAAAGTCTTCGCCTGCAGGGGAACAAAGTACGCCACTAAGGCTGCTGTATCCCCCCGAACCAGGCAGCCCCCCACCCCCAGGGCACAAACGCTCTGTTTCTTTCTTGCGGCGGCTGAATCAGCCAGCCTGCCCCCGTCCCCTCTAGAGCAAAGCGGCAGCCCCTTGCCCTCTCCGCGCCTCTCGACACCTCGTAGGAGGCAGCGTTTCCCTGGCCACACAGACCGCACTTTTACCCACCGTTTGCTACAACTTCGTCTGGAGTCAGTGATGGGGGGGGGGGGGTACACACATGAAACGTACGTTAATCTTCAAGCCTCTTTGGGAGAACAGGGGCGAGACAAGGAGGGAGATTCTCCCCCCCCTCCGCCCACGGAATAGTTCCTACAAACTCTTACCTGGTCTTGCTGCTGGCTCCCCCGGCTGCCCGGGTTCGGCGCTGCCTGCTGCTCCTTCATGGCTGTCATTGCACAGAGCCGGCTTGATTGCGCTGCACTTCCTTTCACGGGTACTTCAGCCTCGGAGACCTTTCACTGGGCACCAATTGCATGACACCCGCTTCCCTGCTCGCCTTGAATTGGCAAAGCGGCAGCAGCAGCAAATGACGGGGGGGGGGGGAAGAGGAGCACCAAGGAGCAGCAGCTTCTCTCTCCCCCTCTTCCTCTCCAGCTACCGCAACCCCCCCTCCAGCCGAAGCCAAGCGATAGGAAGCGCGCCCAGGGGCAGCGAGCGGAGGCTCGAGCTGGCGGGTCACTGAGCGCTCTGGGCCGGCAGCCGCAGACAGAAGCGGAACACCTGGCTGGGCTGGGACTCGGCCGGCTTCCCCCTCCCCGCCAGGAGCGGATGGTCTCGCATTACTGCAGTGTGCGCGCCCCCTCCAGCAGCGGCGGCGGCGGCTCTCCGAAGAGCCCTCCTTGGCGAGGCAGGTGCGGAGGAGACGGAGCGGGGGCTCCCTGCCCTAGCGCCTCTCCCCTCGCAGCAGCAGCAGCGTCCCGCCGCCGAGCGCCGCTGGCTGCACCGCTGGAGCAATGGCCAGGCAGAGCAACAAGGCGCCGCTGTCACACTCCGCTTCCCTCCTCAGCGGGAACAGACCACTCCAAGCCCCCAGCCAGAGCGCGGGGGCGGGTCTCTGGCTGCTCCTGCCGCCCACCGCAGGACCAGTCCGCCAGCTTGGGCTGGGGGCTGTCCCCCGCTGCAGATACCTTCGCCCGCCTTCCTGGAAGCCCGGCCCTACAAAGCTCTGGTAAATCCTCTCTTTGGGCAGCGAAGAGCAGCTGCTCCTAGGCTCTTTGGGATGGATTGGGGGGCGCTGCGGATTGGGCTTTAACAGGATCTGACAAGCTGTACCCCCCCCCACCACACACACAGAGGCAAAGTTAAAAAAGCAGTCAGAGGTTTGCAGTCCCAGCCTCAGCCCTTCCCAGCCCGAAAAGAAGGGCTGGAGCTGGGGATATGGATCAAATTCTCAGGTTGCTTGTTGTATCCCTTATAC